CCATTATGCACAGCCCCCCTTTTAAGTATCAATAGCTTCTGGTGCTTTTAAGGTGCTTGGTCTCTAGTTATTCTGAAGTACCTTTAATGGACTTGGCTTCAGGCATAATTTCTGTGTTTCCTTTCTTTGTTACATTTAATATAGCTGGTGCAGAATTTAGATTAAGTGTGGGGAATGTACAAAAACACTGATTCTTTCTGGATCAGTAGGTCTGGATGTGCATTTCTCTTTGCTACGGCTTGGATATATGTATGTGGACACAAATGTACACCATGTCATGCAAGAATCAGAGTGCTTAAATCTATCTCCACGATTTTGAAAGCAGTGGAACCTTACTTTGTTAGTACAAGTTGCTAGAGATGTGTTTCTGCTGATTCTGAATTTTGAGCAGCAAGATGGGGAAACTGGGTTGAGAAGATTGCTTGCTCCTTTCATTCCCACTCTCCTACAGAAAGTTCTGAAAAAAACCCCATCGGCAAAAAAAAAAAAAAAAAAAACTAGTAGCATTTGGGGGTGTGGGGAATGCTGCGTTGGAACCACACAGTAGTTAATTTAAGGTGGCTCAGTAAAATGCTGCTAAGTGTAGAAGAGCTGCCTCGTCCGTAAAGGGAACCTCTTGATGTTTGTGATTGATTGCATTGCCCAAATGTTGAAATATTAATGACCTTCTTGGACTGAGGACCCAAAGAGGAAACTGAAACCAATTCTGTCATCACAATTAAAGAGTCCCCTGGCTTTAATTAGCCTGACCTGGGGTATCTCTACCCATTGCTGCAGTTAAAGAGAAAAGAGCCCATTAAAGTCCAGTCTGAGACCGATAGCTACTTAATTGAGCACCTAAAGCCTCAAGCCTTTTAAATCAAATACTGTCCTGGACAGTCCCCCTGGTTAGATAATTAGCTCTCCAGCTTCCCAGAAACCATGCAAAACAACTTTTTCAGTAAAGAATAGTTAATGTGGAAGACTTCCTTTGCTGGTAAGGAGAAATAACATTTTTTTTTTTAAAGATAAAACTTCTTCCTATTAATGGCATTACAGAACAAAACCATTCATAACAGTAGAGATGGAAAAATAAGTTTAATTTTGTTGGTAAATAATAATAAGCAGCAGAAAGGCATTCTGAGTTTGTAAGTAATTTTTAGGAATTTTAACAGAAGATTCAGTTGAAGTGGCTTTCCAAAGTAGAGTTGTTCTGGGAGCACGCCTGGGGAAAACTTAAGATGTGTGGAAAGCCTCGGGATTAGTTTGACTCCAATTATTAGAATTCACAGACATTCAAGGTGTGGGACCACTCTAGTTCAGAGAGAATAGTATAACGAATGCTTAATGAAGACAAGTAGTGCAATGAGATCAGCATTCTGAAAGCTGTGTTTTTAGTTGGGTGGTGCAGTTGTACAGGGGGCAGAGGGGGCTTGTGAGAGACAGCTCATCACGTTCAGATTCTCCTGGACAACTGATGTAATCTGTCCATCTTTACCCTTCTAAGCAGCAATGCCCTTGCTGCCATCTTCTTACTCTGGATTGTTGGATCGTTGCTCTGGAAGTGTAGCAGTGCCTTTCTGCCTCCTCTCACCGTCCTTCCCGTGCACCATCTCTTGTGCCAACATCATTCCTAGTAATGATGAAGGAAGAAAAGTGCATATTGCAATGCTTTGAAGTAACCTCGGTATATCATGTACCTATTCTGAACTGGTCCTGGTTTGGAAGATGCCCTAATAATGGACCTTTAGTTTGCAGTTTAGTCCCTTTGGCGGGGAGGTCTTGACGATGTATTAGTTCAGCTTTCCCTTTGTAACCGCTGTGATTCTGCAAGAACGTGTCAATGTGTCGTGGATCTCAGACTAATTAGTTTTGAAATGGAGTTTTGATTGAACTCTTCAAATCGATGCTGCTGCAAAATTTGTTTCTCAGCTTCCTATTAAAAGCCATCTTAAGGGGCAGTTTTACTACTCTCTCTGTCGTTCAGTCGATACATTTAATAACAACTTACAGGCTATTTTCAATAAAGTGGCGACAGCAAATTAGTAGTTTGAACATGACAAGCCTCCTCTGCGAGCTCAGATTCTGAAAATTCAAAGCAATTATTTTTATACAGAGGCACACTGCAATCATTCAGATTACGGGTATTCTGTTGTAATGTGTGTCCTAGGTTGACATGAACAGAATTTTATGACTTTATTTGGACAGGAAGGAGATGCAAATATTAATATTTATTATGACACCAATACGCTAATTTGTAAATCCTATTGCTGTGTTTTACATCGTACAGAAAAGTGGGTCTGTGACCCTGCCAGCTAGTTCAATTTCCTTTTTTACTGCAAAATGAATTGTGGTAGTCTTTATAAATATTTGTGTCTATTAGAGACTCGTGCAAAAGCAAATAAAGGTTTTTCTAATTCTAGCTAAGGCAGCCTGTAAAAGTAGAACTCAATAATCATTACTGTATTATATTTTGAATCGATGCATTGTGCCTTTAAATGGATTTGAAGAATTATGTATATATTTTTCTTCACCACTCTTCTGCCTATTCCCCCCTCCCCCCACTGCGTGTGCCCCCCCCCCAATGGCAGATGTTGTGGTCTCATTTGATTGCATAGGAAAACTGCAGTGATACAGCAAACACCCAGAGAGATATGATGACAAATGGGTCCAGATCCCGGTAAATTACTTTCTGCTCAAATCGAAATTTCATTCAGTTTGTTGCTAGCAGAGATGAAGTAATCTAAATTGTGGACTCAGGAGCAGATAGAGGGAAGTTGGAGCAAGCATTTCATTATCAAGAGAGAGAGAAGGTTAGGATGAAAGAGATGAGCAGAGGCAAATCTAAAGTGTTGACACCATGATTGAAAAGGTTAACCCATACACATTATATATCAACCTGGATAGCAGAGAGTTTCTAATGGAAACTCTGCACTGATGGAGGTTTACTGGAGTTTCAATACACTGAGCATGATGTCTTCTTAGATATACAATCAAATCCTCTTAACCCTTTTGATGACTCATATCTCAAGATATGATTAAAGTACAAAAGAGTTCTTCATATAATTTCAAGGACACAATGCATTTAAACTCCAGTCATGAATTGTATCTTTTTTTTTTATGATGAACCCAGTAATCTGATAAAATGTGTGTAGTACAGAATTGTTTGTGTTTCTAGAGGTGTAAGTCAATATTTCTGATTAAATCCTGTGTAACCACATCCAAGGTAAGGTGAAGCTACCAGTTGTTACACAAAAATAAACTTTTTCGTATTATGAAACCTAAACAAGTTGGAAGATGGAGGGGTCAGAAGTCTAAAATAGTTGTGTAATAAACCGTGGCAGTGATGTGCAAAAATGCCTAGAGCCTTCTTGTGTATTAAATTATTCATGATCATCACCTCTGTTTCAGGTTATTTGGAAATAGTGGTGCTTGCAGTGCCTGTGGACAGTCCATTCCTGCTAGTGAGCTGGTCATGAGGGCACAGGGCAATGTCTATCATCTTAAGGTGAGGGGTTTTTCTGTGTACTTTCATTTTTAGCAGCTGATTAGTATTGCCATGCCTCTTTAGTGTAAAACTGCATCTGCTTATGAATGAAATGCAAAATAATAACTAGAAGAAGGAGTATCTATTATAAAGCTTTGCTTAGTGCGTAGCTTTGTTCCCTCGTAATCGGTAAAACTCTGCTTGAGTTATGTACTGCATAGTCCCAACAGGTAAGACTAATGCCATATTTGGAGATACTAGAAACCAAGCAGCTCCATATCTCAGCTGCACTTGCAGTCTCTGAAGTGTAATTTTCAAACCTGCAGCATACTTAATTTGTGCTATAGTTTCATTGCTGTCTCTTTCCTTTCCCAGTGTTTTACATGCTCTACCTGCCGGAATCGCCTGGTCCCCGGAGATCGGTTTCACTACATCAATGGCAGTTTATTTTGTGAACATGATAGACCTACAGCTCTCATCAATGGCCATTTGAATTCACTTCAGAGTAATCCACTACTGCCAGACCAGAAGGTGAATACTCCACAATTACTAATAAGCTTTCTTAGAGCTAAATGAAGATCAATTTCTTTTCATTCTAATAGTGGACATTCCCTGCCCCTGCAAAGAGACCTTATTTAAGTAGCTGAACTTACCTTAAGTTATTTAGGCACAGGGTTTGGGGAGAAAATAGTAACCTTTTAAATATGACATAGAGGGTGAGTCAGTTTATTTTGGTTTGGGCACGTGCATCTATACAGGTGTTGAACTCCTTATGTACAAAGCAAAATGGAGAGCATGCATTAATACAAACTTCTAAGAAAGAGAAGTATTTTATTTTATAATATTGAAATTAAGGGCTACAAGAGAGCAGGTTCCCGAGGGAGGAAAACTAGGTCCTTTAATATGGAAATAAATGCTTTGTGAAGAGAAAGTTCCTGGACTAAATGTATTTTATTTATATATTAAGATTTTAGTTGAGGAAGCATGCTGGGGTACTCTTTCAGAAGTATTTTCTGGCCTGCTTTGTGTGTCATAACTCAGATTTTAAAACCAAAGTGCTGTTTACGTACTGTTCTGTGACACTAACTTCTCTCTCAACTAGAGATTGTGTAGCTCTGTGGTTGATAGTTTTGGTTTCTAGCTAAATGAGTAAATAATGATTGTACAGATCATAGAGTGAAGAAAAAGAAAAAATTTCGGATCAACAGTTGTCTTGTAACTCTGAAACTAGATAGTTTTAGATGTATTTTAATCTTCTTAATCAGTCCTAAAGCTATGCAAGTGAGTGCATTTTGATAACTGCTGTGCCTAATTTGTAACAATTACTGTCAACCTTGAGTTAAGAGACTGTTCATTCCACCCTGGTCCAGAAAAGAGTGGATGTATGACTCTTGCACATAATTTTATTCACATCATATTTCATACTGATTATGTATTGATGACATTGATTCATTTACTCTTTACAGCGCCACTTGCATGGATATTAAATCTTATTGACCACAGATGAATTTTAATTTCAGATTGGTGATAGATTTTTCCATCAGCTCTGATAGTATATTTGACTTTTTCATCATTAACCCAGGCAATCACACAGCACTGAGTTATTGCAATGAAACAAAAAGTGCACACTTCAGTTGGTAATTCTTTATAGATTTACAATAGGAACTTCATTAATGTCTGTAAGGATCACAAAAAATAACATCTATCTGCAAGTAGGAATTCGGAAGATTAAAATAAAATCTGGGACAAATGCTAGGCTGATCTATTCTGTAGTGTGCAGTGTATTTTGTAGTGCTTTTAGTCAGTGGAGAACTATGTCTGAGAAAATAGAAACTGTTCTTTATTTTACTTTTTTTTTTTCTTCTGGTTGTATTGCTACATTTCAATATCTGTGTTTGCTTTTTTTTTTCTGTGCATAAATTTACTGATTAATTTTAAGTATTCTTTCAAGTCTTATACAGTGACTGTAATTACATCAAAATAAAGCATGGACCTTTTTTATTTACTTAATTTGTCAATTGAGGTGATGAGAGAATTGAGTACAAAAATGCTACATAGTTAGGCAGAACAAAGATAATTAAGATTGGAAGAGAATGTGCAGCCTCTTCTCAAGGAAGTACAAATACAGTTAAAGATTCATAGATTTATACTGTTGTGAATTTTAATGAAACAAATCTGTAATATAGACTAGCTAGCAGTGATTCAGTTAAATGAATATTTATAGGTATCCCGTTTCAAAATATAGGTAAAACCATTCATCTTTATACACTGCAGTAAAAGGTTTACCGTTCTGAGAGTGGTTTATCCACTTGTCTTCTATGAATGTAAAGTTTAATGTAACTTCAAATAGGTGTCTAAATTGTCATTTAGTTTTATCAGTTTCTTTCTCTGCCTTAGCAAAACATAAAATTTTTTAGTTGCGATAAAAGCAGCAGACATGATGAAGAGCATAGAACATGGAAAAGAGAAGTAAAACGGGGACTGGGCTTGCAGAGCTCGTGACTGTAGGTACCTGGTGGGAGCTAAATGCAAGAGTGGTGAGAGCAGTTGTTGTTAGCTCCTGTCACTGACTGGTGGTGGCATTGCTGCAGCCAGGGCTGAGGCACATGAGCAGCTCTTGGGGAGAAGTTGAGGGAACACAAGTTTGAGAGGTTTTTTTCTTTATAATACTATATCTCTAGAAATTGTTCTAAGGGAATTGCAGAGCACGATAACAAACACAGTTAAAGAGAGAAGCTGATAATTCATGTATTTGTCATGTTTCTGGAACTGTGGAAGCTACAGGGGCAGTTGCTAAGAGAGTTATATTTTATAATATATTTTCATATATTTTTTATATTTTATATTTTTTTAATAGTTTTATATTTTGCTTTTTTAACAGTGTAAAGATTTTAACATCAGAGATGTTTTCCCAGAAGCTGCATGCTTTAGGGCTGCTGATTTAAAATATTCTTCCACTGTAACACAGTTGGCTGTAACAGATACTTTTTATTAAACATTACAGATCAATCATTTTCCATGTTATTCTATCATTAGAGATTACAGAGATAGTAGAATATCCACAGGTTTGGTTTTTTTTTTTTTTTTTATTTAACCAAAGAGATTGAGACACTCCCAGCATTAAAGCACATTTTGTTACGCATATGAAGGTGACAGTGATGAACTTAACTCTTGTTTTACTGCAGTTTACAGGTGACCAGTGCAGGCAGGAAAGGTTGCATGGCCTAATTTGGTTTAAAAACTTGAGGTTTTTTTTAAGGAGACAAAGGCAGGGATGTTTGCCATTCCTGCCTTTTGCCTCCCTGAGGCAATTCACACATGTAAATTATAACTTCCCATCACTTGCCCTGTAGTTTAAAAAACCCTGTTTTCTTTAAACTCGGTACTGCTTGCCTGCCGAGTGCAAACTTAGTTTGTGATGTCCTGTGTGCTATTTCATTTGAAGGGGCTGTATTGTCAAGAATTCTCTCTGCTTTTTTTGTACTGGTAGAATTCCTGTAGTATTTCTTGTTTGCAACAGCATTACCACCTACTGAAAGTGTACGTTTTCCACTGGTTGGCAGTGTTTGTAACAAATGTTTGTCTTCACCTTCTATACTTTTAAATAAAGTACGAGTTACATTACATCTCTTAGAGAAGATCTTAAAAATCTTCTAGTTTACATATCACTCAACAATTCCCTTGTAGTTACATAATTGGTGTTGTCTGTGTCCATAGTAGAAGATATTTGATGCTCATTTATTAAATATGCTTGCTGGCTGCTCCCTAATCTTTGTTCTGGACAGACAAATTACCTTTCTCACACTGAGCTTCGGCTCTGGGGAATTAAACCTCCAAGCTTCTACTACTTTAATTAGCTTGAAAGTGGGGGGTTGCAGTTACTAATAGACCTCAGGCTTTTAGTAACTTAGAGAAAGGGTGAGAAAAGAACTTCCTGGGAAGCACAAAATGTCATTTAAAAGCCATAAATATCTAATATATATTATTTCATTTTGGTAATTGCAAACAGATTGCATTTGAAGACTATGGATGAGCATTTCTATATAATCCATGAAAGTTTAGATTTTTATTGTTAGACACTTTTAATTATGATAATTCATTAACACCCATATGAAAGCATGTTTGACTTCATATATTAAAATGTTTATGTTACATTAACTAACCAGATCAGGAATTTAAATGGGAGAGGGGGGGAATCCTGAAATATCTATATTTAGCTCTTGTGCAATGCAGCATATTAACCAAAGTTGCCTTGGGAGGATATTGGCTGTACTTCATATTTGCTTTACAGACTGTTTCTTCCAATTACAAGATCATATTACTCGCTTCTTCAAAGGCATGGCATAATGGTTCTTCCCTTTCAAACAGGCCCAGAAAATGCACCTTATTCACTGTATGATTTGTTACCAGAAAGTACGCATTTCTTGTTGTAGTCTTTTTTTCATGTCTGCTTTCTTTAGTAGTGAAACTGTGGAAAATGTTTGCTTTCTGCTATTTAAAGTTGAAACGTTAGCAGTATGAATGGACAGTGTAGAAAGCCTTAAGTCACAGTTAGAAAGTAGTCTAATAAAAAAGAGATTAGTGAATAGGGAAAAACAAAAGCAGTCATGTTGTAGTTTCCTATCTCAAATTTAGCTAAGATACCCATTTTTATTTCTTACAGGTCTGCTAAAAGGTCAGAGTAATGCAGAATGCGTGCCTTCATCTCAAATTTTGTTCATCATAGATGGATCCCATGTCTCCAAGTAGACAAGTCACCTTTGTAGCTAGCATCAATGCCAGCTCCATACCATTGCACCTTCTTTATTCTTGATTGCCCTTCCCACATTTATTGGTGTATTAAAATGACTGAATATGAACATTAAGGACTCCATGAACCTGGGCTAATGGGAGACTGTAGAGAAAATGAAAAAAGATCCACCGGAGGACATCTTGGGGGGGGGGGGGGGGGGGTGGGTGGGGAAGATGACTAATGAAGCTAATTAAAAGAAGCATTGAAATCTGCTTTCTACCCTCATTAACAATTAGCAGGGCACTGGCCAGTTTGTACCCTGTGTTTTACCTTAACAACATTCTATTTGCTCTTTGTATATTTAAGTGTTGTAAGGAAATGTGTTTCAATCAAACTGAACATGAGATAAAGATGTGGCTTTTGTGATACTCTATCACAAACACTTTTATTGTATCTCTGTAAAATACAATGTATGTATGCATGTAAGTGTTTTTGTCCTAATGTTGCTACTTCCCATGGCAAAAAAAAAGAAAAAAAAAATCAGGCTCATAGCAGCTACTGTGTAGAAATTTTCACCTACTTCTAATTTGCTGAATGAAGAAAAATCTTTTATTTGTGATATTTTCAGAGACATTTGCTCTAGTATGGTGTATTTAAATAATAAAAAGTAAAACAAAACAGAGTATGGGTTTTAGAAACTTTGCTTTTTTTAAAAAAATTACATTCAAAACATTCTGCAACTTCATCTTACATAGTCGTTACCTTAATTGTCAATTACCTTTAAAAGTAGATTTTTGGTTTGGATTTTTTCTTTTGTCTTATGCCAAGAAAGACTAGGCTAAATTTCTTGACCATGTTACTTGTGGCAAGGATAACAAGTACTACTTCAAAAAAATTTTTTTTTTCATGGAGAGTCTTAATTCTGGTAATAACAAGTACATGATAATTCCCATTGCAGTGAATTACAGCACACACAGAGGTACTGTGGTCTCTTTCTTTCCAGTTCCTTCTGTTTTTAGGGTTTTGCTTTTTTTTTTGGGCTTGCAACCTTAGGGGGTTTTGATTTTCCCTTAGGGGTTCAAAAAAAATAAAAGCCAATGAAAGGTCTGTACTTCATGCTGAGCACTAGAATTGAGTATTCATGAAAAGGAATACAATAGCTATTCTGACCTGAACAACATAAAGTTGTGTTTGCTGGGGTGAGAGACTTTAACTTTTCAACACTGATAATCTTAAGGAAAGAAAAACCTGTTTTCTAGGCTGTTTCTGAGAACTAGCTGATCTCAAAATATGATCTGTTTTCTGAAAGCAAACAAACAAAAAACGCCTCTCCACAAAGCAACAGAGCCACTTCTAAGCTTACAAAGGGAACAGCTTCATTTTGCATATTTTTCCCATCAGCTTCCCATCAGTGGTAGATCTGTGCAGAACACTTTTGAGAAAAAAATTACTTTACATGTTTTTAGCAAGAATAGTAACATGGATCTGTGGCTGTCCATGTATGCCCTCAGTCAGGAACCTTCAAGCAACGAATCTGCCTTTGCTGATTCCTTGCTGATTGCCTTTGCCAAAGCAAATCAGTATTAAGAAATAATCTACTGTTATAGGAAGCTAATACATTCATAACACACCATTATTTTATTTAATTCTGTTTTTTGGGAGCTGTTCACTGTTCAGTTGCTTGGTCACGGAGTGAGCTTGACTTATTTTTGTTGTGATGCCAGTAACACAAAAAGCTGATTTATAGACTTACCTGTCTAAACATCCAACAGCAGATACTTTTGTTTCAGATTCTACTTCATGATGTCTAGTATATTGGAGGGCTGCTGAATTTTTTCTTTTACCATGCCAGTGCTTGAGGAAGCCCAGTTTCAGAGAAAAGAAAACATAGCAACATACAGTATCAGACAATAAAGACAAAAATCTACTTGCGTAACATATAAAGCACAATATAAATGGCTGACACTATGTATCACTTTTAATTAAATGCACTTTGTGGGTATTTTAAATAAGTTTCTAAGCTTTTTGATCTGGCATTAGTCTTCAGAGTCCTACAAATTGTGCTGCTTCAGTATCTTTGAAAAGACACTTGAAGTCATATGAATATAGAATTCAAGTATTAGCGAGACTGTAGACATCTTTTTATATTCTTTCAGTATAAGCACTCAAGGTACAGTGTTTAAATTTAACATGTACAGATTTTTGGTTGTCCAATATAACCTAGAAGTGCTAAGAAGATGGCTAATAACTTCTAGTAAGAAATGTAGTATAGCATTTAGTCATGTAGAGGTTGAAGTTCATTAACAGCTTTAAATAAACTATTATATGACTCATTTGTAAAGCACAGCTACCTATTTAATAGCTTGCTTTAAAAGCATTTCTTAAGTTGCAGACCTATAAGATTACAAATGTCACTCATGTTAGCATAATCCACATGCAAGTGATGAAGCCTTTGCTTTGATGTGCTAAATTGCAGGAGGACTAATGGAGCTATGAATATACAATAGAACATATTTAAGTAGTATTCTTGCTTTAGGTAAAACACTTTCTTGAAACCAGAGGCATTTCACACAATGAAACAGGCTGTAATGGGGATGGTAGGTGTGGGCAGAAGGCTACTGGAAACACTTAGTTTTGTCCTTATGTGAAAAATCACTTTTTTTTTAAGGAGCTCTGTAAAGAAAAACACATACTTGTTCACCATTTATCACATGTATTTGCTGAACTGAGGCTGAAATACAACTTCTGCATTTAGTGCTGCTGAAAAGTCAAATAATCATTCAGTAAGAGCTTCGCTTTCAAAAATGAATGCTGTTAAAAAAACAATCAAAGGAAATATTACTAATCTGAAATCATCCTCATGAACCTGGATAAAATGTTCTGTCTATACTGCATCTAAACATCTCAATCATATAAATTGTCACTCTTATTAATGAAACAATTTTGTAAAAAGATTGCCCTCTAAATGGGTTTAATGTTTTTACCTATCCAGCTGTCTAGTTATGAGATTTACGCATCCTGGCAGGCAGTGGGACATTAAGCCTTTCCAAACCAAATTTTGTTTGCAACAAGATACTGTCTTTTCAGTCCTACATGATTTATCTTTAAATATTTTAACAGGTTATGCAGTATCTTATGAAATATAAAATGAGAATGTCTTAACAAAATGAAGCCTATGAAATTAAGTCACATCTTCAGAATATTAACCACACTGAGTTTGTCTCCCTTTTTCCCTGTTAGTTAACACCAATAAAATTTGCATCACCTAACATTAGGGTAAATACTAAAAAACCCCAAAACTCACACAGTAGCAGAGTGTGCCTTGCTATCAAGGCAGTGGAGTCACTGATTCTGGAGGTATTTAAGGAAAGACTGGACATGGCACTGAGTGCCACAGTCTGGTTGACATGATGGTGTTCAGTTTAACTCTATGATCTTGGAGGTCTTTTCCAACCTGATTCTGTGATTTCAAAAGATCGTTTCAATTTAAATCTTTTCTCAAAGTATTTTGCTGGTAGTTGTATGTGAAGTGTGCAGCTTTTTGCAAGTATCTATTCTGAACAGCTCTATTACAATAAAAAACCAAATTGAGATTAGGAAATTTATGTATATACTTTTTTTTCAGGTATTACATTTAATTAGTGTGAAATTGTGTTCTGGGTTTGATGGCACTGCCTGAGACTCCTGGACATGCAGTACCAGATAACCCTCCTTGCTGCTTGTTGCTGTTACTACCAGGTGTATGCCTATTGTCAGTCCACCTAAACCACAGACAAGCTTATTGCAATTAAATAGCAATTTGTTTCTATGAAACTGCAATTAAAGTATTACTGATCAGCCATTTTAGATTGGCAGTGCTGTGACTGCATGTTAAACAGAGGAGCTCTCGATTCCTTGCTGCAGTTGGAGAGGTGAGTAACCATGAGGTGTAACATGCCCACCTCTGTCCTTTGTCAAGCTGGAAGTATGAGTCCTTGGTGAAGGGCTCTGATCTCATCACCAACATGCTGAGAGCGATGACAAGTCAGGGCTCATCTCTGTAAGTTGAACTTGCAGCTTACAGGACCTGAAGTTATTGCTGTTTCTGTTCCTGTAGAAGCAGAGATGTGTACACTTCCTACGGGGATGTTTTCAGCTCCAGATTGATTCTGTTGAGAATGGACAGCAAGTTGTGGGCCCCGAGCCAATAGCGTTCTGCAGGTCCTGACTTGTTAGAGCTGTGTAAACAGGACTACTATAGCTCCTTAATCATAACTAATAAAAGACTAGAAGAAAGCAATCAATTACCTTACAGGTTTGTTTTGTTTTGTTTGGTTTTTTTTTTTTAATAAAAAGCAGAAGTTTATCTGACACGGTGATTATTTTCACGCTCATACAAGGGATGAAAGATTAAAGCAATCTGATGGGCTTACCTGTGTGCACCTGGGGTTTGCTGGCAACTATATGTTTGTGATATTCTGGGGAAACCACAGTGCTCCTGCCCCTAGGCCTTGCAGAACTCACCAGCCTGGAGTCCCTGACCAAGCTTGTACCATTCCTGGTTGACTTGAAATCTGAAATGTAAATTTTTGGTGCAAATTAAAAACTTGCTTGTAAGAACTCAGAGAGGAATTCACTTTGTAGTGGTAATTTTGTTTTTTAATTATCACCATATTATAACAAAATCTGCGACACGTTAACTTTAGTTCCTGCATTTTTGTATAGTGGAGGCTGTAGACATCCTGGTTCCTGTGCCAGAGGGGATGACATCACACCTGTGGCATGCATGAGATAAGCATTGCTTCATTTAGGCACCAGTTCTTGTCTCTGAGAGGTGTTCCTTGTGGGGGTGAAGGCTGGGGTCCTGCAGTGTGTCCCATGGGGTGGGTGATTGCTGCTGGGGACACTGCTGCAGGTTTGCTGGTCATGTGGCACATGGATAACAAATGCCACCTGAGCAGCTCTTGGCTCCTGGCAAATGGCAGCTAAAATGCCTGTGTTTAAGCCTAAGTGAGAATGGCCCAGCTGACAGTAATTCATTCACCCTGGTAGAGTGGTCTTATGTCTGAGCCCAAGGCCTGAAAAGAGCCCTGTTTACTGCAGACAGACGCTACTGTGTTGAGGATTTTTTTTTTTTTTCCTTCCTCTGTGGGTATTTTTTAATGAGTTCTGTTGTTGTGTTTCTTTTCACAGTAGTTCTAGCATTAGGCTCACAGAAATGTGTGCAGGAGGCTGCATGGTTCAGAGGGGGAGGCAATAGGACATAAGGGGGTAGTTGGGGGTGGCTCAGCAGAGGCTGTCTTTACCCCACTCACCTGTAGCTTGTCCACTGCAGGCTCCTGAAGAAGGGCAGTATTGAGGAAGGCTCTGAGGGGGCTCAGGCCCCTGAGGTCCTGAAGAGGGCCTCGGCTTTCAAACAGCAGAGCATGCACCCCAGGAAAGGCAGAACATTTTAATAGGTGCTAACTTTCAGCAAATGTAAGATGAAAAGTTCTTTCATATTCACTGTCATACTGGAGACCTTGTAGACAATTTTGCTATTTTGTTTCTGTGTGTAATATTGCTCTTACACTTTTGTGATCATTTTATCTTCTTAAATCAGTTCTCTGCTACATTATTCACCTGAGCCTACAAATGCTAAAGCTTGAAAATTGCTTTTTTTTTTTTAAATTATCAAAATGTTTTAAAAAGAGAATGTTTTGCTTTTTAGAATTGCTTTTATTTGCTGCTATGTATTTACCTTTAGAAAACCAAAATCAAAACAAAACCCCTCAACAATATTCTTAAAACAGTCCTAGAAACTGCAGCATAAAGGCCAAAGTTAGGCATGAGACATGCCTGCCCCAAAATAATTGTTTTTGAGCAAGTATAGTGGAGAGAAAATGAAACTTTTGAAAAAGGTTGTTCTTCCTGGTTGGGTGTTGGCCCCAGTGAAGCTGCCCATGAGGAGGGCACTGTGCTGCCAAGCACAGTGAGATGGGCAGCATGAAAGGAACCCCCACAGACAGAGCTGCCCTGCCACCTTTCCCAGCTCTGGCGAGGGGTCCCCTCTGCTGCCCATCATGTCCTTTGCTCCTAGTGGTGGCTGCTGAACAAGCCAAAGCTCTCCCTGTGTAGTCAGATTCCTCTGCAGCTAAACCAGATGATGTTTCTTTCTCACATTGTTGGAATATGCTGTTAATTACATTTTGAAATATCCATATACTTTTCCTCTTAGGGGATCTTATGAGCAAGGTTCTCGCTAACAACTTCTGTGGTTCACCATAACTTCTCAGAATAATCACTGCTTCCATTGAACCTATGCCAGTTGTTTTGTTAGAGAGAACGGGGCCTATATTAATTCTCGAAAGGCAAGAGATTGCCCTGTGATTTGGGGAAATCTTGATTGCTTACAGTATGAATAAATGAACAAGGCAGATATTAACTTTACACCTGACTTCAATTTCTTTGAGCAGTGAAGAAGTGTCCAGTAGGAGGGTAAAAATCCAGCTAAAACTCACCAGCCAGCCATTAATAGGCTAACTTTATTGTTCTGTAAAACCTTTAGTTGCTTGTAGAAAACAAAGGGGCAACGAATGCAGTATTTGTCTTTTATTCTTAGAAAAAAACGTTAAGATCAAACGGCCCCTAAAAGACTAAGCTGATATGCATCCCACTTACATATTTTTGGATATCGTCTGATATTCATTCTACTGATGTATTTGATAGGTAATTATATCAGCCATAGCAAGATGCTGATACCAAACAGTGGAAGACTTCATGTTTTGCCATAAAGCTTATACCCCTTGTTACTGAACTCTCATCGCACTTGAGATCTGCAGCAATCATTTGAAAGCTGTAGTTGGTATTTTTGTGCTTATGCTACATTTAAAAATTATTATTCTTGCTTCATCAGTTAGTCTTTTTAGCTGACTTGAAAAAAAAAGCATATTGCAAATGAGCTACTATTCTTATTTGTTGTTTTAAGAAGGGTAAGCACTGAAGTATTCAAATGGAACAGATTATACCTTTAATTACATCCAAACAGGATGCTGAGCTGATTTTTCTATTTTCCGTTTAATTGCTATAGTTCAAAAAGATATTGCAAATTTGTAGATGAATTATTTAAGCATAGCCTTCTGGCCTCTGTGTTTATGGGAGAGACCAAACAGGGGGGAGAAAAAGAAAACAGAATTTAAAGGAGAAAATTACCACTTCCTTCTTTAAGAAAAAAGCTTGAATAAAACATCTTGGGGGAAGATTTTTTTACCTGAAGAGATATTTTATGCTTTGTGGGAGCATCTTGGTTCTCCATGGGGTTTGTTTATATCCTACCAACCACAGTGGGTGCCTGACTCCTGAGGGCCCCCCTGTCTCATGCCATGGGTACAAAAGTGCTGTTTCTTCTCCAACCTGCTCCTTGGTGACTGTGCTGCTTCACAGATGTGATCCCAACCAGCCATCCTTTGCATGGATGTGCTTGATCTCTGTTCTCCTATGTACAAGATGAGAATAATGAAAGCAAGCACAATTCATCAGTTCTTAGACTAAATATATTTCCATTTTGTTTGCATGTGCATGTGTATATATCATTTACCATATATATTTTAAATATGTACAACGACATTACAGCCAGTGATAAATCCTACTCACTTACTGTATGTGTTATTTGCTGCAACATTAAACTCAGTAAGAATTTTATATGTAACTTGTACCAAAACTAAATATATTGTGAAATTGATGCACAGCTGTAAACAAGTACATCACTCCCTGCTTCAACACAGTCAAAGGTGGCAGCTTGTGTGGCAATTCTTTTGTAAACAGCTGTACACATTCCAAAGAATAAGCCAGTAAATTACATTTTTAACGATGTTTTTAGAAAATAATATTCCTGGGGGGGGTGGGGGAACCCCCAACCTATAAACAAACAAGAAAAGTAAACCTAAAACTTGTACTGTATAAAGAAATGCTGTCAGTGAAAAACTGTACTCTGCTGCGCACAGGCCTTTTGCTCTCCCCATCTTATTTTTTTTCTTGTGCTGAACTTGCCTGCATAAAGTACTTTTTTATAGCTCTACTGTGTATTCAAAGAAAGTTGACACTGGCACAATCTATTCAAGTTTTTTGGTGGATTATCTTATTTCATTATTTTCAATACTGCTAAGTATGTGCTACCCACTCAGAGAGCTGATGTGGTGCATAGCAAAGCTCAAGATGTCCTCTTAAATACACAAAGCTTATGCAAGGCCGTGACACAAGTAGATTTTAAACACCAGCAGTGTTGGCAGCTTTGAAGGGCTGATACGAGACAGCCTTGCTGACACGTCACAGGTTACAGGGAGAGATTCAGGAAGAAACTGAACTAACCAGAGTAAGACTAGGACACAACTTTTATTGATGGAGTTCAGGGGAAAGAGACACCGGGGGCAGCTGTATTAATCCCATAATAACTTGAAATATAATCAGTACATTGCTGCAGGGATGGCTAGGAAGGCAGGGAGGTGGAGGTGTCAGGGTTTAAGTTCACAGGCATTCCCAGTTCATTAAAAAGTGAATCAATCAGAAAAACAGGCTGGCTTTTCAAAGGGCTGGCACTTGTGAGCGGGCTTCGGACGTGTGGAGGAACACAGATGGTGAGCCCAGCCTCATGCAGGGGCTGCTGGAGCTCACCAGCCATTCATTTGAGGAGATGGCTGTGTTCTACCCTGCTCAAACCAGTAAAATGTGTTATAATGTGCTAGGGGAGATTCTGGCTGCATTCTGAGAACTTAAAAGCTAGGCAGTGTTGGTGCTGTGGGCCATGTTAAGGTGATGCTGATAGATGTTTATAAAGGGAAAAAAGTTTTGCTTTATTATTTCTGGAGTGGTGGTTTAACCAGCAGGCAAATGAGCAGAAGGAGTCTGCCTACAGGACCCCTCTTTGTAGGCAGCTGGTATAGTAATTAGCTCATTACTATTAATTTTTGCCATCCCTGGACTGACTTTTTTCTTTTTTTTTTTTTTAAGTGGAATCTATATATCTGGATCTGGCATTTCCTACATCCTTTTGATGAAGCTGGTGCATGTACACAGACCAGAGAACATCCTTGGAGAATGAGCCTGCTCACACCCACAGGCACTCAAAGGTTTAGGACAGAATGCCCTATATTTAAATAGGACTCATGACTTTTTAATTACTGCACAGTGCAACAGGGCTCAGTGAGAACACATGGTTGTCCAAACTGGTGTGCTGTGATTGCTCACCACTGGTATGGGAGTGCATTTAATACAGTGGCCTGTAGCTCACCTGAGACTCAACACCCACCACAGGCACAGGTAGGAACACTGACAGACAGACAGACAGA